AAACTTTGTACATATTTCTAGTGATCTCAGCTGACATACGTTGGGGAAAATGCAAGAATTTTCCGAGGATTTTTTCAATGCATTCCAGTGGTTCGATCAACCTTGTTCCCGCCAGCAGTAGAAACAGTTCCTGCCTTCGACAAACCTCTGCATTCGGATTATCGTTGTTAACACAGCGAAGCCCGTGGCAAGCAGTAGGCCTTCTCCCATGTCGAAGCAAACTGTCAGTACCATACTCATCAACCATATAGTCTGAATATAAAGCCATCAAATACACAGCCAACTTCAGCAATAGTGGTTCATAGCTATTGTCCAACATAGACATTGGACTACACGTGAACATTTTGCGTGTGAGCCTTTCTGCTACTGAGTGATTCAATCCATTCAGAACATTACCAGCCACTGGTAACTGATATGAAGCCTTCCAGTATACAGGGGGGGGGGGGGGGGCAAAAAAAAGTCACTTTGCCCATGGCGCATATCATCAAACTTTTTGTCGCAAAGGATGCCGCTGTTATTGGGAGTTATACGGCGAAATATTCCTTAGATGTCCCCCCATAAGCAGAATCAGGCCCACCTTCGCTGCCTTCACCGTCTCCAGAATATGACGTCATCTGTCATCACCGTCGAGCTCAAGGAGGCCTACCATAATCGCTCCATTCTGAAGCTGCTACATAATTTCTTCAATCGGATAACTGGTGAATGGCTTCTTAGGGACACTAGCTCTGACTATGCAAGATGGCTTTTGACCAGCGTTTCAGAGACGTCGTAATCGTCTATGGTTTCTCGACGACCTCGTTGAGCTCGTACCGTGAACCATGTTTCCGTGGGAAAATCTTCTGATGTCGTCGGTGTAGAAAGCCCCTATGTAATTTTTTGATAGATAGAATGTGCTCTTCAATATGCAATTGAGCTCATTCGGTTTGGTTTTGGCAAAGTGTAATTAATTCTGTTTTGAATGTGAGTGGGAGTGACTCTTTTTTGCCCCCCCCCCCCCCCTGTATATCAGTCATTGACACATAGTCCTAAACGTGACTAACAAGGAAAGGCTCCCAGGTCGCCATGGCCATTCAAGAAGAGATGTATACGCCTAGATGTGCCTTCGAACGCTGATCTCAAATCTACCTTCCAAATCTGCTAACGGAGTTATGAAGCAAAACAGCGCAGCGGTAGTGGTCGGGACTCACAGTCAAAACGTCATAGGATCGGTCCCTTATCGTGTTTACTGTTTTCCATTCTTCAGGAATACAGCTAAACGGCTTTTAATAGCCTATTTCGTTGAATTCCTGAAGAATGCAAAACAGTAATTACGATAAGGGACCGTTTTACGACATTTTGACTATGAGTCCCTCCCACTGCTGTTGCGCTATCTTGCTTCACAACTCCGTACAAAGAGTTACAGTTGTGTTCGCTGTCGATAGCAGAAATAGTTGATTTTCTTTTTTTCTTATCTTTCTAAACTTCATCCTTTTTGGAGTTTGTGAGACCCTTTCATACAACACCGGCAAGGGTGAATAACGGTCGAGGAAATCCTCGACCATGGCTCTCTACTGTGTGAGAGTAGTGCCGAGAGTGAATGTACGCGCGGAGAGCACAGACGGCTCGCGCGTGGCGAGAGTGAATGTCCGCGCGGGAGAGCGTCTGACAGGCGAAAATCCTCGACGTGTTGTCGACCATTCCTCGACTGATTTTCACCCTACTGCCCGTTGCCGTTCCGTCGTCTGAAAGTGTTCCAGACGAGAAGAAGGCCAAAGGCCAGAAGCTTTGGGCAATAATAGCCAAGAGTTGAAGCACAACACGTTTTTAGTTAACCAAACTTCGAAGATGAAAATCTCGGTTATTAAAAAGTTCCTGCAAAAAAATACGAATTGCATCTGTGAGGTATCAGATGCACAGGAACCAGTGGCTGTCATAATAGTCCTACCAGTTCACAGTTAGAAAAATGAAAGAACTGGGATGAAATACGCAATTCGCGCTTACGGTGCCTCCCTAAAAATGTTGACTCGAACTTGAATAAACCGCTAAAGCAAAAACTGAGGCAACTTCAGTGTAACTCACAAAATCGACTTTGAACACAGGCCAAAGTTCTCGGAGTTCCGAGAATTTTGCAAACATTGCTCTTTGTGAAACAATGATCATAGTAGACAGGATGCATTGTGGGAGATACTCCAATGCAGGTCCGATATATAGGATGACCAGAACCAAGCCAGCCAGCGATGAGAAAAGGCAAGTCAACTGAAAAAAGTTTCTTTACATAGATAATCTGCTATTGTGCAGGATGTGTAAAGGGGAAGGAAGTGCCGGA